TTTTTAATTTGCTGAACTTAAGTTGAATGAGAAGCGTCATACCGTAACTGAATAATATCGTTCTTTTATTCAATAATGCTTTGTTTGAACAGTATACCACAATTGCAACCTAGATAGGTACTGATGCTCCCAACCCACAACCGATTGATCTCGGTAACGGAACCACATGTTATGAATAGGCGGTAATGGACAATCATCAGTCAAATCTAAACGAATGTAGTGTTCTACGGTACCAAGATGCATAAGCTGTATACTTTTGTGTTCGGATCGGATTCTACATTAACTGTATACTCGCTGCTCGCATTGCCTGGTGTTTTGCAGCTTCAATAGCCTCCTGAGCACTATTATAGAATGAAGATGTATCGAAACGCAGACTGTAATCAACACCATCTCCTCCAAAATCTTCCCATGACTCCTGCTATATAGTACAATATTTTTATTTTTAGAACATGTTAAATTAAGATAATTAATTCTACGATGTAACATAATAATTTGTAACTCGTAACATGATATTATCTAACGTTCAATTAATATAATTTGTAACTCATAACACGATCACGATAATATCTAACGTCCAATTTATATTATAATAAACATGTAACACAATAACTTGTAACTCTTAACACGATACTATCTAACGTCAATTTATAACATAACTAAAACTAATATATAATGTAATAATTTCTAACTCGTAACACGATAATATCTAAACGTCCATTTTATATTATAATAAACATGTAACATAATAATTTGTAACTCCTAACACGATAAACGTCCAATTTATATTATAATCAACATGTAACATAATAATTTGTAACTCCTAACACGATAAACGTCCAATTTATATCATAATCAAGTCTAAAAAGTAACATAATAATTTAAAACATAATAATATAGCCCAATTTATAACATAATTATTTCGAATAATAACATAATAAATAAAAAAAAAAAAAAAAAATTGCCGGCCGGCCGGCCGAACCGGACGGACCGGTTCCGACCGGCCGTCGGTTCCGGACGACTTTCTTGCCGTCCGGCCGGCCTGTCCGGACACGGCCGGTCCGACCGGCCATGCTTTCCGGACGGTCTTTGAACCGTCCGGACGCCGGTTCCGGACGGGCTTTAAGCTGTCCGGAATCGGCGGCCGGACACGTATTTTTTTATAAATTGTCTGATATGTTTAGAAAAAATGAGAAGGGTAAAATTGTCCAAGGGGGGCGGTGAGTAGTAAAAGGGGGGCGGTGAATAGTAACGCCCTTTTTTTATCTGGTGACTCGCTGAAAAAATGATGAGACTTCCACATTACAACTTTTGCAATTCTTAAAGCGTAAAATGTGACCAAACTATCTGGACTTGGGTACTCATTAGACCTACCAGAAGATAATACATTCATCCTGATATATTGATTATATTGCTATAATGAGTAATCAATTTGAAGAAAATCACTCATTTCTATATTGTAACTGTGCCAAATCAATTAGCCAAAATTATTGAACCAATGCATTAAGAATGACACAATTTCATTTATTCAGTAGCTCACCCTATATTGTTAATTATGTCATATACTGAGTCTTCATCAAAATNNNCTGTGGCTAACAATTGAGGTTTTTTGCAAATAATTAAAATATATATAGATGTGAATATCATGCTAGGCTTGCATCAAAACGTGTATCAACAAATTTTTTCAAAATTCATTAAACTTATATGAAGATAAGGAGATCTAAAAATTACACGAATACGTTTTCAACATATATAGATACTATTTTTTGAATGAATATATATACTAAAATATCATATATTAAAAAAACCAAAACGTGTATCAACAAATTTTTTCAAACTTCATTAAACTTATATGAAGATAAGGAGATCTAAAAATTACACAAATACGTTTTCAACATATATAGATACTATTTTTTGAATAGATATACATACTAAAATATCATATATTAAAAAAGCCAAAAATAAAAGTATAATATTTCATATGTAAATATACATTTTTATTAATAAATTATATTGGACGGACGCCTTTCGGTTAGTGGCTCCACAGTAGAACTTGTGTAAAATTATTAGCGGTGTGATGGGATATAAATTCATTTAGTTATAACTAATCAAAACTCAGATTTAACTCAATCCTATTATTCTCAATTTTATCTATATAATTAAATAATATTAATTAATCATCCTTACACGTCATGTCAACTTTATTTTATTATTCATCAACTCACATAATTTTAACTAACAATCACTCCATATTATATCTCTTATATTTTTATATCAAATCAATTTTAATTATTTTATTTTAAATATTATTTTAATATAAACTTAAACTCTCACTGACAACTAACTATATCAATTTTTTTAAAATTAAATATGATTAACAAGAAAACAATCAAATCGATATCCAATCTTGATTTAGATACATAAATACATTTTGCCCTTTTTATCACCATCCAAAATGTAAGCACAATAGGTAAAAGCCAGAAAATTCCAATCTATAAAATTTATAAATGTCAGTGAACAGAAAAGTCCGACTTCCCCAAAAAAAGCCGAAAAACCTATCTCCTGCCACCTTCAAGAAGAGCGGAAAGGAGATCTATGGCGGCGCAGAGCCATTCGAGATGGTCGCTTTCCGGCATGACCGCCATTGTCACCGGTGGCACCCGTGGAATTGGGTACTCCTCTTTTTGCCCCGTCTTTTTATCTTCTCTTCTCACGGCGCTTCAAATCTTTATTGCATATAAACTGTTTGTGATAATGTCCACTAGATACGCAACTGTTGAGGAGCTTTCTGCAATGGGTGCAGCTGTGTACACTTGTTCGAGAAACGAAGAGGAGCTCAATAAGCGGTTGAAGGAATGGGAATCTAAGGGGTTCAAAGTTTGTGGATCCGTCTGCGACGCGTCTTCTAGAGAGCAGAGAGTGCAGCTCATGGAGAAAGTGTCCTCTGTTTTCGATGGCAAGCTCAACATTCTTGTAAGTTATAATTTAATCTCCTTAATTTTGAAAAGCAATTAGTATTTAGTAGTTGCACCTTATCTTAGTGGAAATCAAGTCTTGATTGTGCTACTTTTGGCTGTATATGTATATAGGCTGGTGTTGGACATTTTATGTTGTCTTGATCACTCTTCATTGTTAATGACATGCCTTGTAACTAATAACTGTTAACTGTTAATGAGTCTTGTAGCATTGCACCGCCCTCTCGGCATAGCAGGCATACCCATCTTTGCAATCACCAATCGACGTTTGCAAATGAGTGCATTCATAAACTCAAGAACCTCTACCTCAATTGTTGTGTCTGTATTCAATAAAATAATGTCGAACTTAATAGTGAAAATGGTCAACTCTACTGATACAACATCACTAGAAGATGTTTAAATGCTCCCCAGTTTTCTACTTTTTCAAGTGTCTGCGAAGTTTTTTAGTCTCAGTTGTTGCGTGCCCAAGTTTGTGACATTTGAAGGTTTAAGTTGCATCTTCTATTCTTTTGAACAATTGAGAATGACTTGAGACTGATCGTACAATGTTCATTCCAGATAAATAATGTTGGGACTAACATAAGGAAGCCAACTGTTGATTATACTGCCGAGGAATATTCTACTCTCATGGCTACAAACTTAGAGTCCTCTTACCATTTGTGCCAACTCGCGCATCCTCTTCTTAAAGCCTCTGGAAACAGCAGCATCGTGTTCATTTCCTCTGTTGCTGGTTTGGTTCACTTGTTTTCTGGATCTATTTATGGATCCACTAAAGGTAAGTTACCTCATTGAAACTGTTATATACTTATCCAATTGTCGAATGACTAGAAACGGATAATGGTTTGTGGACTCTTTTAAGTTTTGATTTATTTGAAATGGATAATGGCTGTGGACTCTTTTGGTTTTGTGCTTGCAGGAGCAATTAATCAGCTTACCAAAAATTTAGCTTGTGAGTGGGCAAAAGATAACATTAGGGTGAACAGTGTTGCCCCCTGGTACATCAAAACCTCTCTTGTGAAATCTGTAAGTTTCATGTTTCCTTTATCTTCAGGAAATTCTTCTTTCATTTCATGTTTCGAGCTGCCAGTATTCTGGGTGGGTCATATGACAGCTGCAAACTGAAAAACTTTGCCAGGCTTGATAATTTTGCCAAACAGAACTAATAAAATTATTATGTTCTTTAGTGACATGCATTTGATGTTATATTGTTCTCTCTCTCTTTCTCTCTCTCTCTCTCTCCCTTTTTTTTTTTTTTTCGGGCCCGAATGGCTTCTATCTTGCAGTTACTCGAAAACAAAGAATTTTTGGACCGTGTAATATCTAGAACTCCTCTCAAGCGTCCTGGAGAGCCCGAAGAAGTCTCATCGATGGTTGCTTTTCTTTGTCTTCCAGCTGCTTCTTATATTACGGGTCAGATTGTATGTGTGGATGGAGGAATGACTGTGAATGCGTTCCCTCTCGACATCTAAATTTGAGTCTGTTGTTTATGAGGCCGTCAGTACGAATAAGAGTGACCGCAGTTGTATAAAGCTTTAAGTGCTGCACTATTTCTTTGCTTTCCATTGTTGTACATTTTCCTTGCTTTTCAATGTTCAAACCAATTTGGCTTGCAAATTTGATTGCCTGAGATTCCTTCTCATTATGTGGAGAATGAGATGATGTATTATTGGGGTCCGGGGTGGATAAAACCAACCCCGCATATTTTTTAGATTCTTTTAAAAATAAGTTTTGGAAATATAATTTGAAAAATAGAAAGAGTTTACATGTGGGTTTTTTTTTGTCGAAACGGAAAATATTATTATATTACCTCAAATAAGGTATAATTGGTAACCAAATGGTTACACAATCGTTTAACAGATAGAAATGAAACCAGGGGAGTCCTCCCTCTCTCCACATAAAGGACAACAACCCTACAAAATACTTCACTAAGAGAGACTAAACTGCTCCACATATGGAGATTGACAACAAAATAAAATATATATATATATATATATACACAATAAGACCTTCCCAGCTTAACTTAGCAATGAATCGAGCTCCTTCCACCCAAACCAACACACTTATAAACAATGGCGTATTCAGGATGATTACATGACGTGGGCAGCATATAATTAACACCGCATCGTCGCCTCGCTTGCAAGTTTGATGTATCTTTTTCTTTTTCTTTGTTTTTTTTAATATATGTATACATATATTGACGGAATGGGCCTGAGGCTACTAAATATATATATATAGGATGTGGTTCAAATGAGAACCAAATCTTAATGTGAGAACTGTGAGAACTGCTATTTTTAATTGTAAGTAATGCTATAATTGATTGTGTTTGGTACTATTTTTAACCATGATGAATTTTATTAAAAATAGCAACACAATTTCTGTTAGCATTTGTAAAAATGATAGAATCATCTAATATGAAAAATAGCATCATACACAATTAAAAATAGAATCAAATACGGTTCTCACACCAGGACTAGTTTTTATTTGAACCAACCCCTATATATATATATATAGGATTTGGTTCAAATGAGAACTAAGTGCTAGCGTGAGAACCGTGAGAATCGCTATTTTTAATTGTATGTAATGCTATTTTTAGTGCTATTTTTAATCAAGATTTATTTTATTAAAAATAGCAACACAATTTATGTTAGCATTTGTAAAAATGATAACACCATGTGAGATTAAAAATAGCATCATACACAATTAAAAATAACACTAAATATGGTTCTCACGATTCTCACGCCAGAATTAGTTTTTATTTGAACCAACCCTCACATATACATACATACATATATATATTGACCGATTGACGCTGCTGGCTGCTGCTAATATATATATATATATATATGCATCTTGTTCTATTTTTTTTTTTTGTATTATTAATGGGCCTCTAAATATTTTTATTAATTTTTAATAATTAATTTTATTATTTTGAGTTGTTTTTTTTTTACAGCTATTATTTTGAGTTGTTTTTTATTATTTTGAGTTGTTAGTTGTAGATTGAATTGTTTTCTGTATGGGCTGGGGGCATAACTTTGGGCCTAGAGAAATTTTACTCTTTTAGACTACCTAACTAATATAGGTTGGAGACAATTTTGTTGGGGGCCTATGACCCCACTTAATTAATGTGGATCCGCCACTACTTAGAAGATTTAAGCCTAAGCACAAACTCGATTTGCAGAGTTGAACTCTCAAACCTAAGAACTCCAGTTCAAGTATGAACGGCTAAAAATATCTAACAATGAGTCAATACTCGAGTCCAGAACTGCCAAGAGAGATGATTTAAGAAGAAGGAAGAACGACAACTCAAACACTCGCCAGTCCCGTCGAACGACGAAGAAAAGTGATGAAGATCGTGTATCGACTACGTATAAATGTATAAACCCGTGCTAAATGGTTGTCGGCTGATTCATGATTTTTGACTGTATATTGGCAATGGTGACACATTGTTATGCCAAAATAAATGCCAATGTTTCACTTGAAATGCAAGGCAACAAATTTAAGCTTGATTTATTCATTTTACTCATCTTGGACATTATTTATTTTATTGTTACATATAAAATCAATTTTAGTTATTTTATTATTAAAAATTTTATTTGAAAAAATATTATATCCAAATCACACTCGATATCGAGCGCATCACCATTGAATGTCGAATTCGTCAGCATTGAACGTCGAATTAAGCTCATTGGACACGTGTTGCAGCCTTGCAGTATAAATGTTTGCACTAATTACTGAACACCAACTTGGGTACATATTTTTTCCTTCCTTTTTCAAACAACTATAATCAACACTCTATTTTTATTAATTAATAAGAAATATGAGATACACAAATTTTTATTCAGTTTAATTATCTTTTTGGAAAAAACACAATTATTCCTCATATTTTTTTTTTCTCACTTTATCAATATAATTTAACAAGTAAAATTAATTGTTATTTTAATTTTCTTATAAAAAAATTACTTTGGTCTTTTCTCACATTTTTACTTATTTATTATTTTTTATCACAATTATTTCCATCATTTCATTTTTATTTATATGGGGAAAATAATTACAAATAGCCCTAATTAAACGTTGCTTAAATTTTTTCCCAAGAGCGTCTCGCTGCTCTTGACTGCGCTTTTTCTTTTTCCTTTCTTCCGTTCTCCCATTTCCAGATTTGCTGATGTTGAGTCTCACAGTCTACATTTGAAGTTGCCTGAACAAGTTCTTACTAGAGTAAGGTGTAAGCCCAAGAACACGCACCGCCATATTGATTATTTGTGAAATTTAGTCGTTTAATTGCTCTAGAAAATTTTCGTTNNTTTTTCTTCTCCTGTAAGGGAGCTGTTATGTAGATCCGAATTTTAAAGCTGTTTAATTTATCAACACCAAGGCCTAATTAATTATCGAAACATTGTTTGTTTGTAAGATGAAGGTGCTTTAAGCAAACCCATCTGTACTACTTCAGTTCAGATAAGGCTCGTTAAAGCCTTTTGTGGGAGGTCTATAACACCTAACTATTACTTAGATGATTGCTGCGAATTGCTTTTGTATCCTAGAATTTATGATGTGAGATTTATGAGGTTGTTTATATAAATCACCGTGCAAACTGAAGAGTCCAATGATTACTGTTTTTTTGTGGTTCCAAACCTATCAGGATACTATGTGGCTAAAAGGGCGTGTCAATGTGTCAATGTCTGTTATATTTTATAAGTGGTAGAATAATTAAATTTGTGATGATGGGTTCTTTTTTGGCTGTTATGGTTTTGAGTTGACCCATGGTTACTTTTTTTATATTGATAATACATTTGTTGGACTTAACTTGGCATTCAATGATGAGGAGAACTTGCTTAACTTGACTTATAGTTCACTTGCAGGGATGTTCTGTCGCCCGGAAGTTTGACATGGTGACGAGCATACCCATTTAGCCAAAATGAATGGCCACAATTTGTTGGAGGTCACTTTCAGGGATATTCTCCATGTGATCAAGCCTTCAAAAGGAGATTGGTCCGTCAGATTTCTTATTATTAATGAAATCCGAGATATTGTTGGATCTGTAGAGAGCCTGAGAGGTATGTATTGCTTTGTTTTATGTCATTTCTTCTTTTACTCTTACTTTAGAAGCTTAGACATTAGCGCAGTTATTCAGTAAATCAAAGGAAATGAATTGCATATCTTGGAGCTTGTATCAAGAATTAGGGGAGAATCATTGTGCTTTACAGAAGAGATTAGGGCATATGGGATGGTCAGAATAGTTTCTGGAAATCTCAGGCATCAATATTATTCAAAGATCTCCCAAAATCTCATTCACATAGGATGACTGGCTTGTGTTGATATTCTGGAAATTTAAAAAATCGAGTAAGATCAATGAAGGATTCCTATCGCGAAAAATGGATTTTCTTTTGCATTCTTATTCCACTCCCTATGTTTAAGTATTATTTCAATATTGTGAAGAAGCAAGCATCAAGTCAAAGAAAAAATTATTGATGTTGCATAATTGAAAATTTTTGTTTTGTCAGATGTACAACTGCATATAGCGAGCTTCTTATTCTTGAAGTACCTTGATGTATATACTCTTCTAGATTGTGAAGAATGAGTTGACCTGGTACATGAATATGTATTAACCCTGCAAGAACCTATACATTTAGTGACTGGATCATTGATAGCATATCATGATTAACATCTCAGTTATATTAGTTAAATCTGATAATAATAATTGAGGATAATAGTATAAACATATAGAAGCTACCTTTCTCTGTCATCCTCTAAAACTTTGTTTTTTCTCATGTCATCTGAAAGTCATAATATTGGAATGGACAAACCTGCATTTTCCAGATTGTGATTACAGTTTTACCTGAGAAAACTATTTGTATGTTATAAAGATTTCGGTCAGTTATACTTACATTTTTGGTGGTTAAAAAACATGGATACAGGTGCAACTGTAGAACCATTTGGATCTTTTGTATCCGATCTCTTTACGAAATGGGGAGATTTGGATATATCCATAGAGTTGCAGAATGGTTCATATATTGCATCTCCTGGGAAAAAGCACAAGCAGAGTTTACTGGGAGATGTGTTAAAAGCTTTGAGACAGAAAGGTGAATGAAAAGCTAAAACTTAACCTGCCTCGAAATATTCACTTTTAAGTATTCTTAGCATTTTCACAAGCTCTTTCATGCACAATATGTGATAAAATGTGATTTCTTGCTTGTTAGTTCTGCAATTTTGTTTGACTTGCTGATTTTCTCTGTCCATTTCTGTATGTAGTATGAGAATTTGGCAGTTGGGTCATCTGAATTCTTTTGAAATAATGAGTGCTGAAGTAAGGAAACTGCGTTAAATGATTGCAACTTTTAATTAGATGTGATTGGTCAGTACTAGCATCATAAAGGTTTTCTCTGCAGAATATATCAACAATTAAACTAGAAGAAAAAATGAACCGTGTCCTAGAGCTATTGTCTATCCATAATTATATGTTCTATTGGTTGCGTAACCTAGATGAAATAGTTTCGTTTTGTTTTTGAGCAGGTAACTAAAATGAAATTTCCATTTTGTCTTTGAGCAGGTAACTAAAATGAAAACTAGAGGTGGAGATATAAAATATAAATTATGTAGGGCTGTGTGTGTGTGTGTCTACATCCAATTCTGATGTTGAAAACATATTTTTTGAAGTTACTGGTTTTCTTGGAAAAAAATTATTCCGTTTTTTGTTTTATCTGGTAACTGGGTGCCTAAACTCACTTGGGAAGAGTCGGTTAAGAGAGACCTTAAAGATTGGAATATCTCCAAGGATTTAGCGGTGGATATGAGCGCTTGGAGGCTAGCAACAATCAACGTGCCAGAACCGTGACTTTTGCTCCTTTCTCTTTTGCTCCAATCTCTTTCTTTTGTTTTTGAGCCATTTTTGTGTTTCTCTTACCATTGGTTCTCATGGGTTTCATCTCTAGCCTACCCCAACTTGCTTGAGACTAAAAGGCTATGTTGTTGTTGTTGTTGTTGGTAACTGGGTGCGGTTTTTCAACAGAGATCTGTGTGTGATAAAGACAACATATTTGATCTTATTTCGAAATCTCCTTTCTGGCTGCTTTTTGAAGTTACCAATTATTTAGATAAACACATCTTTTACCTTTTTATGCGTTCTTATATATTCATCCAGCATCTTGTTTTATGTCCTTTTCCCTAGTAAATATTAGTTGGATCCCACTGCATTTGTTGAAAGCATACATATCCTTAGCTTTGACCAAGCAAGTTTTGTGTGTTTTCAGGTGGAATTCGTAGGCTTCAGTTCATCTCCAACGCTAGGGTACCAATTCTGAAGTTTGAGACCAGGTACAACATCTCATGTGACTTGTCAATCAACAATCTAAGTGGTCAAATGAAGTCAAAAATGCTATTCTGGATTAACGAAATTGATGGACGCTTTCGTGATTTGGTTTTACTGGTAAGTTTCCATAACCGAGAATTTAAGTGAAGCATAGGAAACTCGGTTGAATGTGTGTTTGAATTGCTCTCTTTGTGCAGGTGAAAGAGTGGGCCAAAGCTCATCACATTAATGATTCAAAATCTGGATCCTTAAACTCATATTCCATCAGTCTGCTTGTCATTTTCCATTTTCAGGTAAATTTTACTCAAAATGCATAATGGAGATTTCTGGGGAGGTTTAGAAACTTCCACGGATCTAAGACATTCGAAAATGGAAACCCAGGAGGAGAAGATGCCTAATTTAAATTAAAACATAAGTAAACAGAATATGTGATTTAAGTAAGATAGCATCATGTTTGGCGGAGCTCGACGGCTAATAAAACTGTGTATGCTCAACCCGAATCCTTGGTATGTTTTCAGATGATTTTACCAAACTTAGAGTAGCAGTCTTTTAAAAATACATGATATAGTTGGCTTATAGCGGGGGCATATTTAATGAGCCCTCAAATAATGAGGATATGTGCTTTGATTGAGCATGATGGCGACATGTGATCCATATAGCCGACCCCACTTAGTGGGATTTTAACGGCTTGTTGATTGATTCGATTGATTTATATTGCAGACTTTGGTGCCTCCTATATTGCCTCCTCTAAGAGAAATATATCCCGGCAATATGAGTGATGATCTTACAGGTATTACATATTTATTTGTTAAAACTTTAAAACCATAGTTTAGATTTGTGATTTGACTGATAGCATATTTTTAATTAGGCGGCAGTTTAATTCCTGCCCTTAACATATAAAGCTATTACCATTTAACTCGTTTGATGTTACTATTGGTGCTTGCTCAATTTAACTAGAGTCATTCTGATACCAAAATTTCTCCTGTAGGTGTAAGGACTGTTGCTGAAAAACGCATTGAAGATATATGTGGGGCAAACATACATAGAATCAGATCAGATAGGTCGAGATTGATCAATCGATGCTCGTTGTCAGATTTGTTCATTTCCTTCCTTGCAAAGGTTATTATCCTATCCCTGAACCCTTCATTCTTTCCCGTCTATAATTTATTATAAGCACTTGGACTTTTTTCATGAGCAGCCGTTTCAGTTGCGGGTGAAATCTGCAAATTTTTCCTAACCTCATGACAATATATTGAAAAATTGCTACTTTAGTTGAGCATAAAAGTTATTATAATTACGTTGACAGGGATTTTTATGTCTCTGCACCTTCAGTTTTCTGATATTTTTGCGAGAGCTTCTACCCATGGCATAAACATACATGCTGGACAATTAGAGGAAATCAACTCAAACATGAGATGGTTACCTAAAACCTATACACTATTTGTAATCTCTCTCTCTCTCTCTCTCTCTCTCTCTGTGTGTGTGTGTGTGTGTGGCAAAAGGTTATCTCATTTTGTTGCTCTCTTGTCTCTCTCTGTTTGTTACTAATGGATAGGTTGAAGATCCTTTTGAGCAACCAACAAATACGGCTAGGACAGTTGGTTCTAACCAATTAGCAAAGATATCAGCTGTGATTCAAGCAACTCGTGGAACACTCGTCTCTGCAAATAAAAATCAAATGTCTCTTGTTTCTGTTCTGGTGGGCCCACATGCTTTGTCGCAGTTGGTACCGAGGACAGCTGGCCCAGCCGCTACTCAAACTCCACAATCTGCACCAAGGACACCTCATACTTTGTCACAGAGGACAGTTGGCTCAACAGCTACTCCAAGGACACCTCAAGGGAAAAACGGACGCGTGGAAAAGCAGGCAAATCACAAGCCTCAGAACAAAAGAGCTGATAAACGTCCGAGTGGGGCCCCAAGTGCACCACCACCTATGCATGCTTCCACAAGTCAAAAGCAGCAAGTGTGGAGGCCAAGATCAAATTCCAAGGTCGATCAAGGTGGTTTCGATGACTGAGTACCATCAATACATTCGTATATGTTGCAGTTTATGATGTGAATTAATTTTGGTGTATTCTTCCTTCCGTTTTTTTGGAAGAGAACCATGATGAACGTGGGCTATGTTTCATGAGCAATTTCAAAAGAAGAGATTTTGGGGAAGTGCTGTTTGCCTATGTCATCATGAAACCTTGGAAGTAATATATCATTTGTTATGGTTGTAAACAATGCTATTGTACTCGAAGTTATGTTGAGCATGAGCACGAAAGTGATTTTGCGTTGGTTAATCTTGCATTGATGATTTACTCTAGTAGAGTCCCTGTTCAGAACGTTTGAAAACCGGAAAAAGATGGCGTTCATCGACAGAGACCAACTAAGAATACACACATCTTTTAACTGCAAAATCTAATTAAGCGTCACACTTAGACGAAGTTGTGTTTATTGTTAGGTGCACTGGGGCAAAGCAATATTTCCAGTTTTGGGGGTTCCAAAAGGGGTATATGGAAACACATACAAACTCTTGAATGCGGTCTCAAAAGGTGTATATGGAAGCACATACAAAGACTTGACTGGAAAAGGGACATAAACAAATTAGGGTATATCCCAGTTTCTGAGGTCTCACAGGGGAATGAAAACACATACAAACTCATGAATGGAAAAAGGGAAGCAAACAAATTCTCTCTCGCAAATGGATCCTTCAACGGTTCTACCTAATAATCTCTCCAGAGAAGACAATCTTGCCCACAATTCTTCTCATATGCTTATTGACATATAAAAGTGATCTCCAAAAACAACACCGGTGTTCACTACAAACTGAAAAGAGACGGACCAAAAACATCGTATCAATAGAAGAGGCGGAGTCCACAAAATAAGCTTAATATTGGAACATAAGTATCATCAGCTACAAGTTTTTCGACAACAGTAGAAGCAAACATGCTAGATTATACATTACGCATCTAATCTGGTTTCTAGTGAGCATTCATATGCATTGGAAAGCCCACAACACTAAGCCCGCCTCCTCAGCCTGCGGCCATTGTTATCCACAGACTGGGACCCACCATCCACAGCCAGATCCAGCCCAAATATACTGCTCCCACTCCTCTTCTTACCATATAAAAGATTCGACTTCTCATCCACAGAGGCAACAGTTTCCAGCAACTCGGACAAGAGAGAGGGGCAGCTCTGTTCCAAGTGTCTGAAACCGTCTGATCGCATCACCACTAGAAGAAGACAATGTCAGAACAGAACAAGCAAGTATAATTTCTTTTATGGCATTTAAGATTGAACCTCAGGGAAGACTTATTATAACTGTTATTCAAATATAATATATTGGCCAAGCTCTTTCCAACATTTGCTAACTGTAAATTATATGATGCATATTGATGCCATACTTTAACTGCGTGGTCTTCTATTCTCTTGTGTGAAGGTGCACATGGCTTAAAAATATGGTTTTTTTCACTCACAAATTATAGTTAGTTTATAACAAAAATTGATACAACACAACTGCGCATAAACTAATCATGTGAAATCTCCATGACAGTCTTCGGTCAGAGGCATTATGTATGAAAATTAATTCCATCCAGCCACATGTTTTTGACACAAGGTAGCAGACCCATGCTAGATAAATGAGTATGCACATACTACGAAGAATGGCTGTAAAATCCAATCCTATTTTACAGGAAAATACAAACTGCGGCTTCAATGAGTGTGACAACAATCACTCATTGTGCATTATTTAACCCTCATGTAAGGAGTCCTAGATGGAGAGAGAACAAGAATCTGAAATAATTGTCGTCCAAATGAAAAACCTATTTTCCAGCGTGACTACAATCACATTCATTGAATTGGCCAATTCTAAAATTCAAAACAATTTTTTGGTAGTCATCAGATTGTGCAGAAAAATATGTCTAGGTTCAGATTGGAGACTTATAGAAGCCACAAGAATTGGTTAAATTTCTATGACCAACTAAACAGATATAGAGGAATATCCCTGGTGTGCCGACAATGTTAATGCGTCACTATAGCACATTCTGAATATTATAAGTGGAAGACCATTACATCCATTTACCATGACAAATGCATTTACTTGCATCAAGAGTGTGCCTGCTCATAGCAGATAAAAGAAAATTAATATTTACATGACCTGAAATAGTGAACCGCTCAGATCTACGGACTACACGCACCTCCCAAGTTTGTTGCCGCAAATTTTAAACAAATAGCCTTAAGCTGCATGCAGTGATGCTGCTCTGCCAGGGAAAGAGTGGTTGCCACTGTATCAGCACAGACCTCTTCACATAGTTTCACTTCACACAATTGTTTCAACCTATCTAAACCAAACCGGTCAGCCGCAGCCAACAGATGTTGCATCAAGATTGCAGAAGGTGCAGAAGCTGAACTAGTTATTTCATGAAAGTTGGGGAACTCATCAGAGTAAATAAACTGGAGCAGTGCCTGCAAAATATTCATAGCCACACAAATTGTTTCAAATTACATTACAAATGACTGAAATATAATTAATGTGGTACAAATCACCTCATGGTTGTTCACAAAGATTTTTTTTTTTTTTGAAAGGTTTAAGCGTACCTAGATTGGTTCCATGAACTGACTATGAACACACTACGATGAAGGAAGTTCAAAAAATTTTCTTATCTCGCTTAACACATTTTTTTTTGTAGCATGTCATGTCCGCATTTGAGTTTTAAACACTATAACCTTATCGTTCCGGCCTGCTAACAGCTATGCAGAAGCTATTTGCCACCCATAACGATCTCCTACAGAAACAGAAGACTAAAAAGATCCTTCCAAGTTCTGTCTAACATTGGAATATCTCATAACCCCATTCCCATTCTAACTAAACCATGACAGAGACTATGGATATAGGAACTGCACAATTGAATTTTTACTAAGAGTTATTCCAATACATGAATGAACGAGAGGATTATGGTGGAGTCCAGAATAACTTTAGCTGCACCCATGCCCCCGCTCAGACAAAATGTGTTAATGGACAACAACAACAACAACAACATACCCAGTATATTCCCAACAAAATTTATACATTAACAAAATGTGTTAATGGACAAGAAACAAATAATTTATTACCTTGAATATAGAAGGCTCCACATCTTCTAGTTCCACCTCATTGCTATCTAGATTTCCAACAAGTCCGAAAAATTGAGCTTTGAACACAGGAGATCTGGCTGCAAGAATTAACTTGTGAGCTTTGAATGATTCTTCCCCAAGTCGGAAAGTTACATCGCAGCCAATTTCAGATTCAAGCAGATGCTTAAGACTTTGACCCATATCTGATGGAGGAACGGAAACACTGAGCAACTTTGGTCCCTCAACACGATTTCGAACAACTCCCACAGTACAATGCACAGAAAGACAATCATCTTTTAAGAAATCTGAAGTTTCCAAGGAAGTTCTTCTGAAAAATCGCTTATAACCCCTGCAATAATAATATGATAACATTAGGGAAAGGCAATACATGCTTCTCTCTCCAATCTGCATGAGCTAAAGAAGTGATAGGACATACAGCTCAGCAGTTGCTGGGGAAACATAAGAAACCTATTGCTTAAGCCCTGTCAGGCAGACTACAATTCAGAATAAAACTTGTACAGTCAAGCATGTTGAATGGTACAGATTCTTTAGTTCCATATGTGGAAGAGTTAAACTCCCCCATGTGGAGACTGGTGAATATTTAGTAGAAAGTTCTAATTCATCCTATGGGACTCAGAAGCACAAGCAATTCGGCTCAAATAAGCCTTGAGATTGTTGCTATTCCAGATTCCGCATCTGATCAAACAAGACAAAAGGCCTAAAATTGTGCAGTACTCTCCAGAGTCCCACAGCTCTAATCAAGACCAAGAAA